ACTCCAATGTCACCTTCTCTGTGACATTTTCCTTCTCGCCCCCCACGGGAATAAACCCTTCCTGGTCAAGGTGTCCACAGTGCTTATGGTGGGTCCCAATGTCAGGCAGCCGAGCTTTGAGGACTCAGGGAAGTCATGTAAGCAGCCTGAGCCTCAGTTTCCACATCTATAAAATGACAGTGGTGTAAGTAAGCACGTTACAAGGTAGGAATGAGGAGCCAACGGGGTCGTTTTTTTCTAAGTTACAAAGAGCTACCTTCATAGCCTGCAGGCTGCTGCACAGCCTCACCTCTGCACCCACCAGAGTGCTCACCAGGGGCCTTGCTCAGAAGGACTGAATGAATCCGACAACTTTAAACATGAGGGATACGACACATATGCTTTATGGCTGGCATCCTAGGTCTCCAACCCACATTTTATATGCATAAATATCCAGAATAACTCCCAGCCTTTCCGATTTCTTTGATTTCATGGTTCTGAATAGAGAAATAACCTTTTGATTTTAAATAGACATTGGGGAGCTGAAGACGCGTGATGAAAGTCTTTCAAGATATCCAGGCCCAACTGCAGAGTTCAGGCAGGGCACCGAGTAGCGAGGGGGACTCTGCCTGACACATCGCTGAGTGAACCCAGAGCTCTGGAGAGCCAGGCCTGCACTTGGGCTCCATTGCAAACAGGCACAGCCTGGGCAGGAAAGATGATTAGCAATAAACGGAGAGCACCTCAGGGGACCCTCCTACAGACAGTCTGTCACCCAGTGTTTTTAGCGTTCCATTTCAAAGTTTAATTAGATAATCACTTTCCAACGCCTAGCTGCAATTTACCCCTTCGGAGCAGCCCTGCCTGGTATGCAGTCAACTTTCACGGGCCACGGAAGCTGAAATGCCCAGGACAGTCTTTAGCGTCGCAGATGAGAGAAAAACATTTCTCAAAGAGGAAAATAACTGACACATATTTGTGGGTTTTTTCAAAAGAGAACTTTTTCCTAAATGTCAGGAGAAAACAATTTCTCATCCAAGAGTTCAGCTGTCTCCATCAGTGCCTCCCTCCTCGAGCAAGTCCAGTCAGCAGAGAGCAAACTCTTCAGCTGCAGGCAGGCTTCCTCTCACTGAGGAGGGAAGTGAAAGGAATTGCAACCTCTCCTTCAAGGCCATTGTCATGTTAGCTGCACATGCACACGCCCTTGCCCTCACGTGCTGGCAGCTATACTGATCCTGTTGCCTTTGCATCAGTGGGAGGATACAGACCTCCTTTTGTCCTCTTTGTTGCCCAAACCTAAGATGGCAAGGAACCAGAGAGAATTCAAAATGTCCCTGGACTTTCAAAAGCTATCTGTTTATTTGCATGCTTGTTCCAAGTATTCCTTCCTATATTTTACTTGAGCCTCAGAATGTCCCCATGAGATGAACCGGAAAGAGGTTATTATGCCCATGTAACCCCCAAGGACACTGACTCAGACAGGGTACATACTCAATGTCACATGGCTGGGAAGAGGCAGAGAGAGACTCAAACTCAGCTCCAGATATAGGCTCCTAGTCCCAGCTCCTTGCACTAAGCCTTTTTTATTTATGCATCAAGTACTTATCGAGCACCTACTATGTGCTAGGCTGTGCAGATTCGACCCCTAGCAGGACACGGGCACTGTCTACCCTCAAGGAACTCTAAATCTAACCGAGGAGGAAGACAAAAAGATGCAGTGTGAGAGTCCAGTGAGCGATGTGAGTCCTGAAAGCCATCAAGTCCAGAAGACGGGCCTGATCTGATGCTGGGAAATCAGTGGGAAGTTACTCAGCAGAGCCAGGACTAGGGTCAGACAGGCGAGGCGCCTCGTGAGCAAAATGTAAGGAGGCCCTCGCTCCTAGGGTCAGGCAAGTCATGGCCCTGGTGGGCAAGGTATGTTAGGAAATATTTAACAACTGGCATTCTGGGGGAAACAAACCTGGTTTGCAGTGTGTGCCCATTTCTGTGGTATAAAGATTCACACAACAGCTGATTTCAAGCCACCAAGTCGCTGCAGAAGGAAGAAGGGAACTACACACATGCTCTGCGAGCTGGGACAGGAGGCGCACCGCCATGGTGACGTCTAGACTGAGACCTGAAGGGCCGATGACCTTTGGATACAAAGGCTGGATGTGAGTTTGAGTGAGACCAGAGCCAGAACTGAGGACAGGTTTTCCAGAGCTGTGCTGTCCATGCTGCGATCATTCGCCGTAGGTGGCTGTTTGATATAAATTTAAATGAACTACAGTGAAATTAAACTAAAATGCAGTTGCTCAGTGGCACTCGACGCATTTCAAGTACTCAGGTGTCACAGGTGGCTAGCGGCTACCATGTCAGCACACATTATAGACCGTTTCCAGCATCATAGAGTGTTCTGTTAGACCGCACTGTAGGGTAGGAGAGAGAGAGAGAGAGAGAGAGAGAGAGAGAGAGA